GCTGCTATCTGGGGCTCTCAGCCATCTGGCTGCAGCTGGTGAGGGCCACCTCCAGTGGTGTGGGAAGTGAATGCAGCACAGGGAGGGCAGGAAGAGCACGTGTGACCCTGCACAGCAGGTCTGTACCCCTCCGGCTTGACCAGCTAGGCTCCAGAAGCCCTTGATTTCTCTGTTCCCCCAGTTGGTTGTTAGTAGGTGTGGCTTGTATTTGGGAGCTGAGCTGACATGAGCCTTTGTGGTGTGGCCAGAGGCCTCAGACCCATGTCAGACATGAATTTATTTTTACCAAGGAGTCTCCAGGTGGTGACGCAGCCAGTAATAAGCCCACATGATAAGATGAAACTGATCAGGGGCCGGCCTGGTGGTGCAGCAGTTAAGTGCGAGCGCTCCGCTGCTGGCCGCACGGGTTCGGATCCTGGGCGTGCACTGATGCATCGTTTGTCAAGCCATGCTGTGGTGGCGTCCCATATAAAGTAGAGGAAGATGGGCACGGATGTTAGCCCAGGGCCAGTCTTCCTCAGCAAAAAGAGGAGGATTGGCATCGGATGTTAGCTCAGGGCTGATCTTCCTCACAGAAAAAAAGAAAAAGAAAAAAAAAAAAAGAAACTGATAAGTCACCAGCCAGGTCCTGGATACATCCCCGGGCTCCCCTCTCTGTGTCTGAGATGAGGTCTATAGCTGTTCTTCCAGCCTGGGCCTCTCTTACCTGGGGGCCTAGGCCTGAAGCGTGGGTGAGCAGACATATCTGTGCCCTGTCCAGCCTCCGCCCTCTCTGAATGTCCTGTCCTGGAGACCTCACTGAGCAGCCGAGGCCTTGGAGGGGTGGGTGACGGCCTTGCCGGAGGCCTCTTGGCCCCAGTGTGGCGATGCCAGGACTGCAGACCACGTATCCAAAGCCTGACGTGCTTCTCTTGTCTCCCTTCCTGGGTCCAGCCACTGGGGCCTGCTGCCTGTCTCCAGAGGGCTTCTCCCTTCATCCAGCCCTCAGGGGCCTTGCCCTGACTTCTGTCCTCTGGTCATCCACCCAAGGTCAAAGGGAAGTGTACCACTGACCACATCTCAGCTGCTGGCCCCTGGCTCAAGTTCCGTGGGCACCTGGACAATATCTCCAATAATCTGCTCATTGGGGCCATTAACGTTGAAAACGGCAAAGCCAACTCCGTGCGCAATGCCATCACCCAGGAGTTTGGTCCTGTCCCTGACACTGCCCGCTACTACAAGGTGGGTCAGAGTTGGTGGGGGCAGGCATGGGGGTCTTCTGACACCTCCTCATGGCTGGGTGGGGCAGGGTGGGTGGTCCAGGGAAGGGGTGCTCCCCACCCAGGAGCCCACATCAACGGCTCTGCAGTTGAAGGGTGTCCCTGTGCCTCAGAGGCAGTCCTGTGTCTGTCACCCTCACCGTGTACCCACTGCTCTGGGCTCTGCTCCCACACTGTGGCCCTGCACCCACAGCCTGCCTCTCTGCTGAGCACTGAGGGCTGGGCCATACCTCCCCATGCCCACTGCAGAGGGGCAGGGCCCATGTTTGATCACCTCTGTCCCCTCAGGGCCTGGTTTGGGCCTGATTCACCTCTGACTTCACCTGCCCTTGAGGAGCAAGTGAGGGGCCTCTCAAGCCCCTTGACCTGTGAGCCTCAGGAAACCCAGGGGCTGGGCAGGTGGGGCCAGTGCCCTCCTCTCCCTCATAACCTGGCTCCTCACTTATCGGACAGAAACATGGCATCCGGTGGGTGGTGGTCGGCGATGAGAACTATGGCGAGGGCTCGAGCCGGGAGCACGCAGCGCTGGAGCCTCGCCACCTCGGGGGCCGGGCCATCATCACCAAGAGCTTCGCAAGGATCCACGGTGAGCTGGAGCCACATGCCTGGCTCCCATTTTCCACCACAGCCACACAGCCCAGCCTCTGCCCCTGCAGATTTGTGTTGAGTCGAACGCCCACAGCTGCCCACCTCAGGCAAGCAGTGGTCTTGCTTTCCCACTTGTAGAGCTAAGCAGTTGAAATCCAGGACACAGAGTCAAATTATGTATTTTTGTGTGTGTGTGTGAGGAAGATCAGCCCTGAGCTAACAAACATCCAATGCCAATCCTTTTTTTTTGCCAAGGAAGACTGGCCCTGGGCTAACACCTGTGCCCATCTTCGTCTACTTTATATGGTATGCCACCACAGCATGGCCTGACAAGCAATGCGTCGATCCATGCCCGGGGTCTGGGCTGGCCCCCAAATTGTGTTTTCTGACTGTGAACGTTTATCAGGAAGGCCTTACGGAGACACAAGCACCAACACACACTTGCATAAGGTCCTAGCAAAAGGCGCAACATTGGGAGTGCAGCCGACCTGGTCCTAGTAGTCACTACCCCAGGTTTGTCCCCAGGTGGCAGGACTAGGGTATTTCTCCTAGAGCCCTAACCGGACTTAGAAAAGGAAGCTCTCAGGTCAGCCCTGTGGCACAGTGGTTAAGTTCAGTGTGCTTTGGTTTGGGGGCCTGGGTTCGTGGGTTCGAATCCTAGGCGTGGACCTACTCCACTCCTCAGCCATGCTGAGGCAGCGATCCACATACAAAAGAGAGGAAGATTGGCACTGATGTTAGCTCAGGGCTGATCTTCCTCACCAAAAAAAAAAAAGTAAAGGAAGCTCTCTGGGCTGGTGAGATTCCCTGTGCAGAGAAGCAGGGACAGGGCCCTGCCTGCTGTGGACTCAGTGTGCCCTCTGCCTTCCAGAAACCAACCTGAAGAAGCAGGGCCTGCTGCCTCTCACCTTCGCTGACCCAGCAGATTACAACAAGATTCACCCCGTGGACAAGCTGACCATCCAGGGCCTGAAGGACTTTGCCCCCGGCAAGGTCAGGGGGCCAGGGAAGGAGGGTGGGTCGGTCAGCCCAGCTCCCCTGGGGCCCTCTTGAGTAGGGGGGAAGGTAGAGGGCAGCCACTTTGCTTCCTCTCCTTCTATACCTGGCCCCATGTGCACCTCTTCCCATGAGCCTTTGTTCCAGCTGGAAGGGCCCTTAAATTCTCCAGGCAACCTCCCAGAGAGGGAAGGAAGTACCTTCCCAGAGACCAGGGTGGAGCCAGCTCAGGCCCTCCTACAATGTGCTCATTAGCCCTGGCTGGGCTAATGCCCAGCCCATGCCCAGCAGGACCCTCTTGGCCCCAGGAGTACCCTTTGGTTGCCACCCAGGTCTTACCATGGCCACCCAGGCCCAGACCAGGCTTAGGACTTGATTTTCCTGCCGGCCCCCAAGGCTCCAGGGCAGTACCCCACCTTCCTGACCCTCAAGCAGAACCAAGGGCCATGTTCCTAGGAGCCACTTGGCCCACACCACCTCTTCCCGTACAGCCCCTGAAATGCATCATCAAGCACCCCAACGGGACCCAGGAGACCATCCTCCTGAACCACACCTTCAACGAGACTCAGATCGAGTGGTTCCGCGCCGGCAGTGCTCTGAACAGAATGAAGGAGCTGCAGCACCAGTGAGGTCCTGCTCTGCCACCCACCACCACCTGCCCTGCTCCTCGGACCCGGCTCTGGTGCCACAAGTGCAGTTCCACGTGTCATCAGAACTGGATCTGATCAATCCAGCCTTGGCTGCCTGCTCCATGATGGTGTGGCCGGGCTACCTGCCCTCCCCTCCCTCAGCCCACGAGTGACCCACGGGTTGGGGCGTTTCTTAATGTTTCAGCCCCACTGCCTTCCTGTTTTTAGTTTGATTCAAATCTTGAGCAGCTCCATGCAACTGTTATTTATTTTTGATGACAAGACTCCCATCTAAAGTTTTTCTCCTGCCTGATCATTTCACTCGTGGCTGAAGGATTTTAAGGAACCTTTTGCTCTTGCAAGGAAAATAAGAATTCAGATTCAGTGACTGTTCCTGTGTGTGTATGGTTGGTGTCTGTGCTGTTATCAACTCCAGGGTTCAGGGTGGGTCTTTGCAGCCAAGTTAGTGGAGGCCCCTGGTAGCCACACCATGGTGGACGTGTCACTGCAGCAAACGAGACGTGAGCCAGCAGACTTGCCACTTCTTTTCTGCCCCACCTCCCTGTCCTAATCCACTTCTGCCTGCAGGGCAGCCTCCCCAACCCCGCCACATTCTGGTGGATCAGGGGGACTGAGCCCAAGATGGAGCCACCTCCTTCCCCGTTGGAGGGCATTGAGTTAGTTAGCCCTCCAAACACCGAGGGTGGGCAGAGCCCATCTTACAGGCCACCCTGTCCAAGGTCACAGCTGGTCTGTCGTGTACCATCCTCTGCCCCTCAGCATGAGGTGGTGGCAGGCACTGTTCTGCAGCTGCTCCTCCCCCCAGAGTGACATCCGCTGGCACTACCCACACCTCCATACTCCGGTGCCCTGTGAGCCAAAAAAGGTGAGGGCAGGAGGCAGGCTCCACGGAGGCCCCTGCCCCTTCTCCAGGACAAGACTTGCCTGACAGAAACATGGCATCTGGTGGGTGCTACAAACAAGTGTCCTGGTCCCACAGAAGTGAGTGAAGGGGCATGAGGCATCTGGCAAAGCCATTCTGCTGACTAAACAATGGGGTGCTTGCCCTTGTGCCAGGAGCTGGCATCACCAGCAGACCCACAGGGTGCTTCTGGTGTGGCCGAGGTCTGAAAGTGGCAGTTGGCCTCAGGCTTCCTGCTGTATTTGCTGTGGGGCATGACAGCGGGTCACCAGCCCTCACCCTGGGCCAGCAAAGCCCACAGCCTCCACTTTCCTGATGGAGCTGGTCTGGCTGAGTCCAGGCCCCACCACCTTCCACGTGCTGGTGGGAAGGAAGGCAGTTGTCCCTTAAAGGTCAGACTCTTACCGGCAACGGGCAGCTACCCCAGGCCAGCCTCTTGCTGTGTTACTTTATGCAGCCACCAAGCTCAGCCAGCCCAGAGCCCAGCCTGAGGCAGCCGGGATCTCAGCCCCTATGTCCTGCCATTAGTGGGGGTCATCTCCAGAAGAGATTTGAGGTAAGAAAAGACACGCTGTCCCAGCTGTGGCAACTGGGTGACCTTGGGTCTTTGAGACAGGATAGCTTCTCCCTGACTGACGCTGCCGTTGTTTATTGTCTTTATTGTTTTTGCTGTCACCGAGAGGCACAAGTCCACGGGGACAGTGGGACTTCAGGGGTAGCTCCAGGAGCAAGAGCAGGGCCAGGATGGTGGGGGAGTGGTCAACCTGGCAGGGCGCAGACTCGACTCCTCAGCATCTGCAGAAGCTACTGCTGTCTTCGCAGCCAGCTGCACCACCTTCCCGAGGGCTGGGGCAGGTCTGCCGGACTGGGCGGGGTCCACTGTCAGGCCCACAGCTAGCTGCTAGTCCACCAGGAGAGAAGGCCCAGGCCCGGCTCACTAATGGATCCCTGCCAGTGAGAGAGAGAACAGGCATAGTTCAGCTACCTTCAGGGCATAAGCCAACTCAGACAAGAGACAAAGGGGGCCCCTCCTGGGCACCCAGCAGGCCCAACAGAGGCAAAAGGAAGGGTGGGGCACACACTAGCCCAGAGGCTTTGGGGAAAACCAGGAGCCACACCAGTGCTCCCAGCTGGCACACGGGTGTACACAGCCCAGACTCCCCTCTTGCCCCAACCTCTCCTGAGGCCTGTAAGGAAAGCACTGGTTTTCTGAGGGCACAGCCCCTGGCCCCAAGGCCTCAGCAGGGTCAGGTATCCTGCCTCACCCCCAGGGCTGCCAAGACACAGGCACCGGTGAGCCAGTCCTAGGCGTGCCTTCCTGAGCTGCTAGAAAGGCCTAGTGACTGCGCACCAGCCTCTACATGCAGAGGTGATGCCCTGGGCCACCAGATTTCTGACCAAGACACAGCTGCCCTAAAAGCGAACCACTGTAAAAGGGCCCACTGTACCCCAGTAAACCCTACCAGCAGCCCCTGAAACTCCACTTTCATGTGTCACTGTCTGGTTTCCAGAGGGTGAGAAACAAAAGGAACCCAGGTCAGACCTGGCCAGCCGCAGCTCCCATGGCGCCTCAGGCCCACGCACAGAGGGTCACCCCTCCCTGAAGCCCTACCTTGCTCTCAGGGCTTTGACTCCCAAGCCCCTTCCTTGGTTTCCTTCTCCCTCAGCCCATTCATCAGTAGCTTTGTCATCCAGGTTGGGCTCTGTCCCTCTTGCAGGCAGGAGTCTTGACTTGCCCACCCTCCCCAATAGCCACGGCAGCTTCACCACCTCAGCGCAAGGACTGCTGCCCAGGCCTGCAGAAACCGAGGCTCCCCAGGGAGAAGTGACCGCCCACGACCACACAACGGGGACCTGCACTCTGACCTGCTGTAGGGTGGGTCTAGGAGTGGAACCCCAAGTCAGCACCCAAGGAAGCGGCTCCCCTGCCGCTTCGCTGCTGGTTCTCCCACCACACGGTTCCCTGAGGTTTGGGCAGCGGCAGTAGGCCATCTCACCACAAGTGTGTACGGAGCCTCCTTCTTTGGCAGCTCCTCGCTGGAAGAGGCGGCCTCTGCTGAGCTGGGCCCAGTGGGGGATGTGTCCACAAAGCTCTCGTCCACCACCCGGAAGCGGATCTCCTCGCCGGTGTCCATGTACAGGTCGTGCGCTCCTTCCTCTGTCTCGTACTCCCACACCCACACCTGCTCCGCCTCGTCGCTGGGCAGGGCCCAAGTTCAAGGCAACAACCAGGCCATGGGGGAGCCCCTGAGGATGGGGGAACTCCCATAGCACCCATCCCCAGGAAAATCAGTCCCAGGTTAAGATCACTCTGGCTGGGAAGTCACAGGAAAAGCAGGCCCCAGGCTGGGAACACGGGCGCCTGGCCAAGCACGCACACACATCCCCAGGACATGGGAGCAGGAAGGGGGCTTGAGAACAGAGCACGAGTTCCTCCTCTCAGGACAGAATGACCATGGCCTCTTGCTGCCCAGGGTCCCCTCCCTGCCACGCATTCTCTCAGAGGCCGACTGCCAAGTTCAGACCTCTGCTCCAGCACCCACCAGCTATGACGTGGGGCCAGGCCCACCTCTCAGTGCCTCAGGGTCCCCATCTGTCAAACAGGCCTGTGGTGAGGAGCTAACAAAGGAGCACCCACAGAAAGTGCTTTCCACAGGACCCACAGTCGGCCCTCAGTGCCAGCTAAAGCCATCCTGTGTCCTTTGCGCAGTGCGATTCCACACCCCTTTCCATCCACACCTCGTGACACTCTGACCAGCAAGCGGCACAGGGACTTTCCCAGTTTTCAAGAGGACAGCGGTGGGATGGGAGGTCACTTGCCCTAACACCCACGGCCTAAGAGAGGACCAGCAGGCTGGGCCAGGTTTTCTGACAAATTCTGGAATTACACACAGACCGCACCCCCACCCTGCGAAGACCCAGCAGGAGCTGCCTGCCAAACCAAAGGGTGGCCGGCCAGCTCCTCCGAGTCCACAGGAGCCATGCTGCCCTCTAGTGGCAGCCTTGCGCATGGGTCCTGCCTCTCCTCCGTGCCAGGTCCTGTGCTGCGCACTGCGGGTACAGTCGTGACAGAATGGGGTCCCTCCTAGTGAGCAGTCTCAGTGAGGACCCGCAGAAACAGACAATCCGGTGCAGCAGGATGAGGGCTGGGATGGGGACAACGGGGGAGGCCAGCAGAGGGAAACTTAACCCACCCAGGACCCACACAGTCTAGCCCTCAAATGCTGGCCTATGCTACCATTCACATTATCAGGGAGGAGGGGAGGGAGCCAGTCAGGGAAACCTCTGGAGGGAAGTGATCTGTGAGATGATTCCTGCAGGGACAACCTAAGCAGAGTGAACAGTCCCCCGCCTGCAGTGCACCAACTACACAACCAAGCCCAGACAGAGCCCAGACAGAGGCACGGGCATGGGGACGCCATCGCCAGTGCGGGAAGCACAGGCAGGTTGGTGTTTCTAGAGCAAAAGTGCAGGCTGGAGGGGTAGGCACAGAGGCCAGCAGCATCGGATCACAGGATAGGACCACCCCAAGGAGTGGGGACCACCCTTTCGAGAGGCCTGCACTCCTCTGTGACCCACTTTAACCTTGGGAGGATACAACTTGGCTGGCTGCTGCAGCGACTCTGGGGGAAGGAGAATGTCATCGAAGAATCCTAGAGAGACTGGAAGAAACGAAGGTGCCAACATGGGACGGGGGCTCACAGTGGACAGTTTAAACAAGGGGTCTGGATACTCGACAGGCAAGCCCTTTACCCTGTGCTGCCTGTGGGGCAGGTGTCACCATGGAAATCTGGGTGCCTCCCCCACCTCAGAGCCCCACGCCTCTGCCTGTGCCACTCACACAACCGGAGCAGCCACCACAACCTGAGGTGGACACCACACACAACAGGGACCAGTGGGTGCCGAGGACCTCGAGTCACCTCCAGCAGCTCCAGTGCCCACGCTGAGGTCCTGAGTTGTGGCCTCCTGGTGAAGCCCACAGCTGGCGAGGTCCTCCCTGTTACAGGCACTCGGGAGGGGGCTGAGTATTCCCCCTGCTCACAAACTTCTCTGACACGAGAAGATTCTGCTTCTGTATCTGACCCATCCTCTGACCATGCGGCCCAGCACAGAAGCTAAAGGGAGGCCGGCCTGGCCACTTGTCCCCAACATGCTCCCGGGTCTCATCTGAGGAGGCAGGGCCGCCATTACCGTGCACTCCCTCTGGGCTGCAGCCTTTGATCTTTCCAATCAGGATCTCGTCCAGGAATGGATGGAACACCACGTAGCGAAAATGGACTGGAAATGAAGAAGGTAGGTCAGTGATGAGCACATGAGGAATGGCTGTTCTGACCCTCACGCCAGCAGACAGACCCAGAGGCCCCGTGGCTGCTCTAGGAGCCTGCCCGGCTGTGGGCCAAGTGGCCTTGCGGGCCTAGACCCGTCAGCTGAGCTGGACTCACCCCGGCCCCCACAAGGCCACAGCTCGGCGCCTGTAAGAGGCCAGCAGCAGCAGCCTGGAACTGAAGGCTGGCTCCCAAATCCGTTAGGAAAGTCACACCTGAGCCCAGATTCTGGGCCATCGATGACTCCAACTTCAATTCCGACCTTCCTCCGGGCTCTCTCCTTTAAATTCTAAAGACGACAGAAGCAACTGGCAGAGAGAGCCACGTCTGGAAACAAGTGCCCGACTCCCGCTGACTGGCGAGGCTTGCCCCGGGCACAGCTCTGACCTGGAACGGGATGCTAAAAACGCCCTGAAATTACGCAGGGGGAGGCAGAGCTGATAACCCAGCAAAAATGCCTCTGGGGCTTCTTGGGCCCCGCCCTAGGTGGTCCCCATTCACCAGACCCCAAGGAAACTATCAGGTAAGGTCTGTGCCCACATCATAGACTCTAACCACAGGGTCTGGCAGAAGCCATCACCTTGTCACTCCTGCCTCTTGCTTAAAGCCCCGAAGGGGATGTCCATCACTGGTCTGAACACCCCTAGGGCTAGAGAAGGACCATGAGGCTGCCCCCTGCCGGTCGCCGAGTGCCCATCACCATCCACCTGTGTCAGCTGTCATGCCTCCTCACTGTAAGGATGAGGAAGCAGCTCAGAGAGGCTGGGTAACCTGCTCACGTTCTGCCCTGTTCTGCCATAGGGAGACTCCAAGTCCTTCTGGACCACCACACAGAGCCATGGGGTCGAATCTGCCTTTCTCGAACAGGTTTAATCCCCAAACACAGGCTTCCACCAGCAGCACCCTCAGCTACCTCATCTGCCAGCCGAGCCCCAAGGACAGCAGGGCCCACCTGGCCCCCAGCTCCCTGCCAGGCTGCTTCCCCTGGCTCCACTGGGCAGGAAGGCGTGGGGAAAGGGGAGTGGGCAGCTGGTGGCCCCTCTCCCCCTGTGAGGAGACAAGCATGAAACATCTGAGCCATCAGGAAGATGACGGAGCCTCATGCTGACCTGGAGAGCAGGTAAGGGCAGCCAAGAGGCACTTACCCACAGGACAGAAAACCCTGTCCCCCATACGACCCAACATCAGTTCAGTTCACCACATCCCCAGAGCCTCCATGAGGGCTGTGCCATGCTTGGCTTGGGCACTGGGCTTAGGCGGGCAGGACAACACACGATCCTGCACCCAGGGAGCTCCAGTCTGGAACCACCACACCCAAAATGACGTGGTGAGCAACCCAAGTGTCCATCGACAGACGAATGATAAACAAAACATGATAAACCCATACAACGGAATACTATTCAGCCTCAAAAAGGAATGAAGTACTGATTTATGTGACGACGTGGATAAACTTCAAAAACATTAAGCTCAGTGAAAGAAACCAGACACAAAGGTCACATCTTGTGTGAGTCTATTTCTATGAAATGTCCAGAAGAGGCAAACCCTGAGACAGACAGCAGAGTAGCAGCTGCCGGGGGCTGGGGGGAGGGGAGAATGAGTGACTGCTAGCGGGCTTTCTTTTTGGGGTGATGAAATGTCCTGGAATTGGAGTGGTGATGGCTGCACAGCTCTGTGGATGTACTAATACCCACTGAAGTGTATGCTTGAAAGGGTGACTTTGATGGTAGGTGATTTATATCACAGTTTAAAAAAAGGAGGCCGCAGACGAGCTGGAGGGCCAGCCAGGACAGTGCTGTCTCGGGGCCACCTCCCAAGAGCCCCACCTGAAGTTCTGGGGATATTTAGCCCGCAGACGGGAAGCCTGAGTCTGCAGGACCAGTAAGAAGAGGAAGCCCTGTCCTCAGTTGTAGGCTTCAGTAAAATCCGTGCTAGGATACAGAGGGCTGCCTCCGGATGGTGCGAAAAACCAAGGACAGATACCATGATCCCCTCAGGCAAGGTCCCCAGAGGAGTCAAATTCACAGACAGAAAGTAGACTGGTGGCTGCCCGGGGCTGGGGGAAGGGAGAATGGGGGGTTAGTGTTCAGTGGGTACAGTTTCTGTTTGGGAAGAGAAAAGTGCTGGAGATGGATGGTGATGGTTGCACAACAATGTGAAGGTACTTAATGCCACTGAACTGCACACTTAAAAACGGTTAAAATCGTAAATTTTATGTTACATTTATTTTATCACAACTTAAAAAACGAAGAAAAAAGAATAAAGCAAATGGTGAGCATGAAGACAGGCTACTCTAGAGCTCAGGGCGGGCCCCAATCCAGCCTGGGGCGGGGATGGCGGGCAGGTCAGGAGGGGCTCCCCAGGAGGGCATGGAGAAGATGGGGCTGGTGCTAGGCAAAAGTGCCCTAAGTGATAAGGGATAAGGTGGCCAATCGGGACCAGTGTCACAAATCACAAAGGCCAACATCGTGTGAGCACCTACTGTGTGCCAGACGCCAGACCAGAGGCTTCATGTGGTTTTTCTCACTTACGCCTCACCATCGTTTTAGGAGGTAGGTACTATTAGTACACGATTTTTCCGGATGTGGAAACTGAGTCTTAGAGAGGGAAAGCAACCTGGCCTGGGCAGAAGTGGAAGGAAGTAGGAGGCAACCGGCAAAGGAGTAATCCTCAAAGCAAAGGCAGGGGCAGGTGCTGAGCCCCTCCCTCAGCACCCCGTCCACCACAGCCCTGGCAAGGCAGGGGAGGGGGCCTGGGGTCGGCGGTCAGCCTCGAAGCACGGCCATGGACCCCCACGACACCGTGACAACCTGCCCAGCATGGTGCCCAACAGGCCGTGAGGAGCTTTACAGCTGCAGGTGTCAACCCCATTTTATAGATGAGGAAACCGAGGCCAAGAGGTGGAGTTACCTGCCCAAGATCCCCATCCGGGGCGCCAGAGCCAGAATTCAAATCCGGGTCCCTGTGACGTGCCTAACCCAGTGCTCTGCTCCTCAAACCTTGTTCCCAAGAACACAGGGGACCCGGGGTGAACAGGGGTCGGCAATAATGAAAACCAACAGTGAAATCTTATACCAAGTGGCAGAAATAACCGAATGAATGGACAGAATTTCCTCAAATTTAACTTTTTTCTCTCAGTGTTTTTTGAAGTTCTGGTGCCTCTTACCACTTTCTCCTGGACAACCCAAGCCCCCGTCCAAAGGCCGAGACTAGGCTCAGCTCGACAGACGGCGTCCTGCTCTGTAAACAGAGGCCCTCGTGGTCTTGTTTTCACATCCCCGTCTTATTTTTCTGCTCCTGAAACTGCTCCTAGTCGGCATACACACAGCCTGTTTCCAGGGCTCTTTGCAGGGCACAAGAGCATCCATGTGAACTAATTAAGTCTCTGGATTCCCAGACATGGACACCAGGCAGGTTCTGGAATGCTCGACATCTCTGTGCCAAGAGGCTGACTGGTACGGGCTAGGGCAGGGCTCCTCAAACATGGCCTTGTGTGAGAATCTCCCGGCTCCTTGTTAACACAATCTGCAGGGCCCCACCCCCAGAGACTGGGATTCACAGGTCTGGGGAGGCGAGCAGGCCTAGCCGTGGCAGGCCACATGTCTACACGCTGACTAGCCCTGAACCACGTCAGTGGCCCCCTTGTCCTCTGCTTCCGATTTGGCCGGGTCCAGGCAGGAGAGTGAAGAACGCCCCACTCCTTCTCCCTCTCGGAGAGCTCTTCTCAAGGTGACCCTCCCTCTACTCCTCTTTCCAGGTCTGCTAACCACCCCTTCCTTCCCGGGGTGCACACCCCTTTGCAATGTGACTGCAACTCCTCTCATCAAGAGGTGGAGTCTCTTCTCCAGCCCTTGACTCTGGCCTCAGACATGTGACCTGCTTCGGCCAATGGGACAGAAGCAGAGGCTTGAAAACTCAGGCGCCCAGTCTCGCCAACTGAAAGATAAGATCACTTGGAGCAGAGATGAGCCATCCCAGCCGAGGCCCCCAACCAACCAGTCTGCCAACCACCAGACACGTGAGGCCACCCTGCACCATCCAGCCCTTGCCAAGCCAGCCCAGAAGAATACCACCTCACTGACCCACAGAACCAGGAGAAACAATTCAAATGGATAAGCCGTTGAGCACTCGCAATGTGCCAAGGTCCTGTTCTAAGAGCTTGGCACATATTAATTTAGTAATCCTCATAACAGCCCTGTAATATAGAATCTACTGTCAACTGCATTTGACAGATGAGGAAACAGAGGCACACAGAGGTTACATATTCTGCTCAGGACACACAGCAAATAAGTGGCAGAGTTGGGATTTAAACCCAGAGGCCACACTTTTAACCATTATATCCTAGTGCCCCTCAAAGCCCCCCACCCCCAACCAGCCTCCTCCCCAGGAGGGGCAGTGCGCTTCCCTCTGTTCGCCACACTTCTCATCTAGCAGTGATCACTCCAAGTGTCTTCGACTATCTGGCCACCACCTCCCACCAGACTGAGCAGCCTGAGCGCCAGGCAGAGCAGGGCTCAGTAACAGACGAGACCAAAGGCGGCACAGACACAGAGACACAATCTGAGAGCTGGAGGGGCCTTGAGAATCACCTTGTCCACCTCCCGTTTCTTAGAGATGGGAAACCGAGGCCCAGAGAAGGGAGGATTCTGCCCATTGTCACCCAGTCAATTCCTGGCAGAGTCAGGACTAGGCCTCAGATCTCCCAACACCCAGACCAGGACTCCCACCACCGAAAACTGAGCCCCAAGAAACCCAATGCCCCAGGAGGAGAGGGCACCCACCTTTGGTGTGTGACGCGCCGTCCCCCGGGAACACGTAGGCGTCTTCCAGCTTGGTGATGTCGAACAGACAGATGCAGAGTCCCACGTTGTACACAACCTGTGTGCGTCCGTGTACGCACATACACAGTGACCCCGAGGCCCAGCTCTCAGGCGTCTCTCCTGAGACTGTCACCACCACATTGCAGGTCTGGCTATCCCCGTTCTACAGTGGGAAGTGAGCTGGGACACTGCCTGAGGTGACCACGGGGAAGAAACCCTGGAAGGATGCAGAGCTCTGGGAAGAGCAGGGCCTTTTCTGACAAGGCAGATCCAGCTCACAGTGCCAGCTCCACCACTTACTGTGTGACCTCCAAGGTCCTTCTCTGAGCCTCAGTTTCCTCATCTGCAAAAATGGACAAACCAGGCTGCAGGGTTGTTAAATAAAGAGGGAGAACGGATGTGAAGCCCCTATCCCAGTACCTGGCTCACATGCTAGAAATAATAATCACCGATCAAGGATCACTGCTGTTACTAGTACAGATCAGTAGTAGGGGAAGCCTGGTTAAACTACACTTTCCAACGTCCCCAAGTCCCTACTGGAGCCCACAGCCCAGTGAGCGTCAGAACCACAGCTGATCTCCATTCTGCTCACACAGATGTGGCCACAGAGACTGAGGCTGGAAGAGTGACACATGGCCAAGGCCCTGAGACTGGGCAGAGAAGAGCCCATGCCCCATCCCCACCCCACGGTGCTCTAAACAACTGTCCACTTGGTGTCCGCTTATCTGCCACCAGTGTCATCACCTCCCAATCAGAGACCTTGCAGGACCATTCAAGGATTAGCAAGAAGCTCAGGGAACTCGGAGTCCTGGCCAGACATCACAGCGATGAGGCACAGAGCCTGGCTGGACCATAGGCCTCTTCTGTGTGGCCTCCTCTCAGTGACTCAGTACCTCAAATACAGGAAGACTTGTCTGAAGAGGTCACTGAAGGACCTGTGCCCCAAAGGGACTGCATTCCCTTCCTGGACTCTTCACACCTTGTCTCTCCACGATGTTCACACTTCATCTCCCCACAGACCCCTCGCCTTCTACCTCACAAAGCTACTAGAAGCCATCCACTAAGGACTCCGTGAGTTCTCCCCACCAACAACTCCCCAGATCTGGACACCCTCCTTCTGTGACCTCAGCTTCTATGGAAGGGACCTGCCTTCTGTAGAAAGACAGCCAATCTTCCTCCTGCTGGCTCCTTCTCAGCCTATCACCTCCCACTGTTCTATGAATAAAGACCAATACTCCCATGAAGTCCTGCAGGCCCTGTGCAGCCTGGCTCCTGCCACCCTTCCAGCCTGCCCTCCCCTCTCTCCCTCTGCCCAGGGCACACCAGCCTCCACCATGCTGTGATGGTGTAATAGTTCCTCCTGCCACAGGGCCTTTGTTTCCTCTGCTTGCACAGCTCTTCTCTCTGCCCAGCCTCCTCCCACCCCCCAAAAATGAATTCCCTAGTTAGTTTTTCCATCAGATCTCAGCTCAAGCACAAGTGCCACCTCCCTAACAAAGCCACTTGTCTCCCTCATCGTAGGTGAAGTTTCTTCGTTCCACAGGCTTGTGGATACCTATCTTTTGCAGCATTTACCTCTACTTGTCATCACGCGCTCAATTGTGGGACCCTCTCATTCATATCTGCTCTCCCACCATACTACAGGGCAGAATCTTGTCTGTTTCATTCACTCGATCAACAGACAATCATGGAACATCTACTCTGTGCCAGGCTCTGCCTAAATATGGGGAATACTGTGGGGAAAGGTCTCTACCCTCATGCAGAGGAAAGAGAAAAACAATAACCAAATAAACAAATGCAGAGGAAAGAGAAAAACAATAACCAAATCAACAAATAAGAACATAGAGTGTATAAGTGCAAAGAAGGAAAGAGTAACATGGCACAGAATAACTGAGGAGGGAGGCTGACGACAGAAAAGGCAGTGGCAAGGCCTCTGACGAGCTGGCAGTAGGGTGTGCAGGCCTGGCACATAGAGGGTGCACAAATATTTTCTTGCAGGAATGAATGGATAAATCTCCTATTGGTTAACTCTAAACTACCCTCCATCTTCACAAAAACAAGGCATGGTTGGACAGCAATTTTTATTTCCATTTTACAAATGGAAACTGAGGCCCAGAGGGGGTAAATGACTTGCCTAAGATTGCAAAGTAATCTCTAAGTGTGGAATCTAGCACCTCTCAGTTACAACGGCCTTTTTCAAACCCAATTTCTCTTTTGATTCCCTCCAACACCCTTGTGGGTAAGGATTACCCCCATCCCACGCACGGGTGAGGAAACCGTGTTCTGAGACGTTAAGCTACTTGCTCAAGGCCAAGGCTTGACATGACCAAGGCCAGGCCTGAAGCGGGCAGGTGGGCAGTGTTGGGCCCTCCCGTGCCAGGGCCTGCCAGCTACCCCGTGGGCCCAGTACCTTGTTGGCCAACTTCTTGTTCAGCTCCTCGGCAATGGAGTCGTTGAGCTTCCTCTCAAACTGCCACGGGGGGATCCGCACGGTGTCCACCATCTCCACCAGGACGAACATCGCGGCCTGCGCTGGGCGCTCTGGGAACGGGAGGGTCAGTCACGCACCGGGGCCTGGGGCGGTGAGGATCCCCGAGCCCCCTCCGTCCCGTCCCAATCGCTGAGGCCCCCCACCCCAGACCGGTAGCGCAGCTGCACGGTAGAGCGTGGAATACCCCGGGCGCAGCATGCTCCGCTACTGCAAAGAGAGGAAACTGAGGCTCACGGGAGGTTCCGTCGGTCCAGCGCGGGGACGCGCGGCCCCGCCCCTGCCCGCCACGCGCCACAGGGCCACTCGCCACACGCCGCCACCACGCACCGCGCACCCACACGCAGCCGGCAGCGGCGAGACTTTCCCCGAGATTACGAATCCCGTCGCTTCCGGAGAACCGACCAATAAGAAACCTCTGCCCGCCCCCTCGCGCGGGGCGGGGCTGCCTACTGGCTCTTGACGGAGCGTGGTGGGCGGGGCCTGGGGGGCGGGGCTTCCCCTTTCCGCCCTCGCGGAGCGGTCAACCCACAGACAACACTTTCTGGTTGCTAGGCGACCTCGGGGCAATCCCGTCATCTCTCGTCTGGCCTGTGACATTCTGTTGTTGCTGGTCCAGGCCGTCCCGTGCGCCGCAGCCAGAGTGATCCTTTGAAAACGCAAACACAATCGGCTTAGACCCTTCAGTACTCTGGAGACGGGCAGAATTGACTGGAAAGGGGCAGGCGGGGCCTTTCTGCGGTGATAGAAATATTCTGTATTTTCTTACGCAGTTGTATACAATTTTGAAACCTCATTGAATTCAACACTTAAGATCTTCACATTTAATCGTAGGCAGATTACATCTCAATTGAAAAGTGATAATAAATTGGCACAAAACACAACCTCAGTGGCTTCTCACTGAACTAATAATAAAGTCCAAAACCTTTGTGGTAGCTCACAAGGCCCTGCAGGATCTGCCCTGCCGCTACCCAGGCCTCCAGCCCCATCTTGTTCTCTCTCCCCCATGTTCCAGTACCATTCATCTTCATATGATAGCTAACATGGGCTGAGAGAACTCAATAACTTGTCCAAAATCACGGGCTGCTAAGTGATAGAAGTGGGCCCTGTCTAAACCTCAACACCACACTGCCTCTAGGTAGTGTGTTTTAACCAAATAAAAATTTGAAAACTTAAAAAGAGGTTGGGGGGGCGGCCGGGTGGCGCAAGCGGTTAAGTGCGTGCGCTCAGATGCGGCAGCCCGTGGTTCGCCGGCTCAGACCCCCAGCGCACAGCAACGCACCACTTGGCAAGCCATGCTGTGGCAGCAAGCCATGCTGTGGCAGCATCCCGTATAAAGTGTTGGAAGATGGGCACGGATGTTAGCCCAGGGCCAGTCTTCCTCAGCAAAAAAAAGGAGGATTGGCAGATGTTAGCACAGGGCAGATCTTTCTCACAAAAAAAAAAAAAGAGAGAGAGGTTTGCGTAGATGACAGAGACACTCAGAAATGCATAGTGCTTTAATTTGCTGATCTCTTTACAGAGATCTCTCCATGAGACTGGCTGTAGTAATACTGAATTTGGCCTTCCCTGCATCTATATTTTTATTTATACGTTTATCTCTCTCTCCTAGGATTTGAGCTACTTGATGACAAGAGAAAGTGCTACTTCAGCTTTTTATTCCCACAATCCCCTAACATCATTCTTAGGAGGCATTTGGTAAAAGTGTTTAGGAGATTATATAAATTATTTCTCTCAAATATCTCTCAAATCCTCCCTCTTCATTTCATTCCCACTGCTACTGCCCTGGTTGGGGCTTCTTCATTGCTCCTCTGAAGTTTAGCCACACACCCCAGCTCCTGGTCTCAGTCTCTCCTGCAAGCAACCTCCACACTGTCACAGAAAGGTCTAGACTGAACCCAGCCTTCCTCTCCAGCCTCACTTTCCTTTTGTCCTCCAGACACTGGGAGCCTCCAGCCCCGAGTGTGTGATACCAAACTGCTTAATCTCAAATTTGTGTGCCCAGTGCGCAGTAAGCCGATCACTGAGGCATTTGTGCTTAGAGATGGAGAAAGGTTTATTCGAATTGGCCAAAATGAGAAGACAGGAGGATAGAGTCTCTCAAATACGCCTTAACAAGAGAAGAAAGCAGGGGGTTTTATCGAGCTAAGGGGCTGGGGAGGAGGAGTTTCAGAGAAACAAAAGGGTAATCCGTGTTTCTTTCACTTCAGATAAGCCCCTGGGCAATCTGACTTCTGGGCGTCAACGGCAGCTGGGGGGCTGGTTATCTGGTGATCTTTGAACCATTCTCTTTCTTCTGTAAAAGAAGCTCAAAAACCCTTGTGACCCTTGAATTACCCCTCAGGTTAAACAAGAAGACAGCAAATTGACAAGATTAACTTCTTTTCATCTGTGTCTGTGTTGGGAACAAGGTCAAAAGGTAATCATGTTCTTTTTTGTGTGAGTGTGAGGAAGATCAGCCCTGAGCTAACATCCGATGCCAAGCGTCCTCTTTTTGCCGAAGAAGATCGGCCCTGGGCTAACATCCGTGCCCATCTTCCTCTACCTTATACAGGATGCTGCCACAGCATGGCTTGATGAGCGGTGGGTCAGTGCGCACCCGGGATCCGAACCTGTGAACCCTCGGGCCACTGAAGCAGAGCATGCACACTTAACCACTACGCCACTGGGCCGGCCCTGGTAATCACGTTCTTTTTTTTTTTTTTTTAATGATTTTTTTTTATTTATTTATTTCCCCAAAGCCCCAGTAGATAGTCGTATGTCATAGTTGCACATCCTTCTAGTTGCTGCATGTGGGACGCGGCCTCAGCATGGCCGGAGAAGCGGTGCGTCGGTGTGCGCCTGGGATCAGAGCCCGGGCCGCCAGCAGCAGAGCGTGCGCACTTAACCGCTAAACCACGGGGCCGGCCCATGGTAATCACGTTCTTATTGAATATTTACAGTAACCCCACAGGTACCAAGCTTCAGATAGAGCAAGCCCTTTTATAGCCCTGCCTTGAACACTTCTTTACCTGGAAAACTCCTACTCATCCATCAGAACCCAAATTCAATCATTCATTTTCACATTCTTTCATTCATTCATTCAACATACCATGTGCCCAGCTGTTAGAGATTCAATGGGGAAGAAGAACTGGTCCCCGGCCCAGCTTCAGCTCAGAGGGGTTGGGGAGAGGACAGAGAGAGAGAGAGAGAATTTGACGCTCTCAGGGAATCAAAAGTATTTTAGCTGATTTATAGGGGAGATGTGAATTGGTGAAACTGGAGAACTAAGCAGGATCCAGATCCCAAGGGCCTTTTTTTCTTTTTAATTTTTTTTTCCCCAAAGCCCCAGTAGATAGTTGTACGTCACAGTTGCACATCCTTCTAGTTGCTGTATGTGGGACGCGGCCTCAGCATGGCCGGAGAAGCGGTGCTTTGGTGCACACCTGGGATCCGAACCCGGGCTGCCAGTATGAGAGCGCGTGAACTTAACCGCTAAGCCATGAGGCCAGCCCTAAGGGCCTTATCAGTATAATATTCATAAACTTTTAATCCTCACAACAGCTATATAAGGTGGGGGCTATTATTATCATTAGCTAATTTGTCTCATTATCATTTATCATTCTCATTTATCTCATTATCTCATTTCACCTCATTTAAAGCAAAGAGAGGTTAAGTAGGTCATTCAAGGTCACACAGCTAATTAGTGGCAGAGCTGGGATTCAGGCTCCAGAGCCCATGATCCTCCTAAACACTGGGTCGTGCCACAACATTAGCCCGAGGTCAGCAAAGGGAAGCCTTCCAAGGTTAGAACAGGGAAATGACACAGTGACACATCAGCTGGATGGACAGTGGACGGGAAGGGGCTGGGATGAAGACAAGAAGACCAAGAAGGACGTTATTGGGTGGGTCCTGTAAGAGTAGGCCTGAGCGAGCCTACTCTTGGTAGCCTACTCTCCTGGTAGCCGTGGAGAGCAAAGTTGGGCAGAGTCCAGAGGTCTCCAGGGGATGGTCTCAGTGACAGGGTGGATAACCTGGGGATGGAAGTGGAAGGAGCCAGCGCTGAGAGCTGTGGCCACTGGCTGGGTGGTGGGCCTTTCACTGAGATGGGAAACTGGAGGAGGGCCAGGCTGGGGGAGGGGCCGGCATCGCAGAGTTCAGTGTCTGGGGTTCCCAGGCTTCTTTTACAGTATTCGGCTCGCACGATTGCGACAGGGAGTTGTTGGCATGTTCGGTTTCCTCATTAGTAAAAACAGGGACCAGCCTTCTTTATTAACTGTCTGCATCATTCCCTGGAAGTGAGGTGGCTTACAAAAACACACAAAGACTTAGTCTGCAAGCTCCTCGACAGCACAGGACTTCTCTGTCGTGTCCCTCCACATCGTCTTGGCCTAGCCTTGTGCCTGGCAGATGGTCAGGGCTTGTAAATATGTGTTATTTGAATGAACAAAAGGATAGCAAAATACTTGCTAAGAGCGTAGGAGTGCGGGAGAAATAGGGGTTGGAAACTAAACCCAGGAGGAGGAGGAGGAGGAGAGTCAAGTGGGTGGGTAAGGGCATGGAGTTCCCACGCCACAGCGCACCAGCTGAGCAACTGTGGCAAAGCCGATGAACCTCCCCGGGCCTTAGCTGCCTCTCTGCAAAATGGAGATAGTAATGAACCGATCTCAAATGATTGTCTATCAGTGGAGGACTGGATAAAAAAATATATACAGTATATCATACAATGGACTAATATGAAGCCACAAAAAAGAATGAGAATGCTCTTTGTGTATTGATATAGAGTGATATTCAAGATACATTATTAAGTATAAAAATGCAGGTCACAGCAGTGTGTGTGGGACATTACCATTTGTGTAAAAAAAGGAGAAAAATAATACTTTGCATGTGTCCGTGCATGCTCTGAGCAGGTACACCAGCAACTGATGACACTGGTTGCCTCCAGGGTGAGGAACTGAATGGCCGGGGGTGTGGGCGAGGGACAGGATAGGAGGGAGAATTTTTTACCAAATGCCCTTTGGAATCTTTGATGCTTGAGATCATGGGAATATATTTCCTATTGAAAAATGAATAAAATTTAAATTAAAAGAGCAATTAAGACTTTTTCAGATCTTAAAAAAAAAACCTTTGTCAGCCCCCTTTCCCTCCAGCTAGTGCCCCATTTTCTGCATCCTTTACCAGCAAAATTGCTTGAGGGAGTCATCTGCATTTGCTCTTTCCAAATCGTCTCTTCTTGTTCTCTCTTCAACCTGTGCCAGGCAGGTTTTTGGCCCTACCTCTCAGCCCAAACAGCTTTCTCAAGGTCACTAATGGCCTCCATGATGCCAAATCCAGTGGTAGTTCTCCTCCTTCACACCCTCTTTCTACGTGGTTTCCAGGAGCCCATGCTCACCAGATCCTCCCCCAACTTCATGGACTCCTCCCCGCACC